ACAAAATTAATAAATATATTTACTTACTAAACTTATATCTTCAAATGTTTTAAGTACTTTATTTAATTTTATTTTTTTTGCTTCTTTCTGACACAAACTTATAGATGCTGTAAGTTCTGTTCTATATTGTTTAGAAGCATTTGTTACAGTACTACTAATAAAAGATTCCAATGTTGCAAAATATACAGATAATATCCATGACTTGAAAAAAAAAATTTTGCTTTTTTTATTAAAACGGTTATTATAAAAAAAATTTCTGAAGACATTTTGATAAAAATTAATAAAAATAAATTTTAAAATTGTAAAAAAAAATTTTTTAAATTGTAATAAATTATTTATATTTTTTCTCTTTTTATTTAATAGAAATATGTGGTGTTGATAGTAGAAATATAATTTGACTATCAAAACATATACCGTAAATAAATTTGTTTCATTCATGTCATGTCATGTGATTTTTCAAATCTAGATATAGATTATCATATTATTAATCATATTATTATTTATTTATTTTTTTATCACGAGATTTTGTTGATTTTTGTTTATTTTTTTTTTTTTATATATATATAATCTTTTTAATTTTTTTTTTCTCAATTTTTTTTATAACAAACCAACAAACTTAATTTTTTTTTGCCTTTAAAATGAAAGTAATTTATCTATAATGCAACAAATGTTATCAGTAATTTTTGTGATAATAATTGTCCTTTGCTACATTTCAAATAATAAATATTATAAAAAAATTTATAGGAGATTAAAGCTTTGCAAGAAGCAAATCCAACACCAACGTCAACACCAACACTAATAATAATGCCAATACTAATACCAATACTAATACTAATAACAATATCATTAACCCTTATTGAAAAACTAATACAATGATATATTTCTACTAAGTTTATTTTTTTATTTTTTTATTTTTTCAAGTCAGAGATTCGTTTTTGTATGTTGTCTTTAAAAGTTGATTTCAAGATCAGCTACAAAAACCAAGATATTATTCTTCTACAAAGGTGATAGAAAAGGTATATAAAGTATTTTGTTATTTAGCAGTTAGGATAATATTAATTATTATATTGTAACAATAGTTCAAAAAAAGAAATCCAACAATTCAAGTTGAAATGGAAAGTTGGTTAATAAAAGAAAGTATTAAAAAATACTTACAATATTATCGCAATTATAATAATTGTAAAAAAATAAAGAAAATTATGATGATGATAATGATGATAATAACCAACTTTCTGCCTCCAAAAAAAAAAAAATAATGCAGCTCGAAACCCTTAGTTACAACAAATTTGATATTCCCCCTTTATTCCCTGAAAAATAAAGTTTTTTGTAAAAACCTATTATACTTTAATGGATTGAATTTTAAGCTTTCAAATTACGATGAGATTTTTTAAATCTAATTACTTCTTAAATAAGTATCATCAAATTTCAGATGAACATTTCCTTAATTGTATATAAGAGATTTTCAAATTTGATACCAATAATATTTTCTGAAAAAAAATTTTTTCATATAAAAAAATTTTTTTTCTTTTCTGATTACTCCAAAAAAAAATTTTTTTTCAATTTTATTATGCCGCCGCTTTCAAAACGTAAAAAACAAATAAAAAGTTTAGCTAAAAAAAAACAGAACAAGTCATTTGTGCCTTTAGAACATTTAGATTTTGATGATAGTGATTCAGAATGGGAAAATGAAAAAAAAATCATATGGGAAGATGTTGAATTTGATCAAGAATCTGAAACTTTTGTTAAAGTTTTATTAGATAGAATGAAAAACTGTGTCACCTACTCGAAAGTTCATAAAAATGGACAATTAATAATAAGATTTTTTAAACCATTATCACCTATTCTACCAACTTCACCAACTTCACCTACTTAACCAACTCCACCAGTTTAATTCGATTCTGATGAATCTGACGATAAACAGGAACCCGAATATGAAAAATATTTCAATTATGAACAATTGATTATATCCATTGAAAATGAATTAAAGTGAAATTATGATAGTGGTTATAAGCTAAGATTAACTGCTTTATTACAGTATTTTAGGCTTGTTAATTACCAAGAACCAAAAATGAAAGCAAGTCTCTGTATTACACGACAATTAAATAAAGGATCATACTTTGCATGTTGTCTTAGAGTATATTTATTTATCAAATGAAAATTATTTAATAAATTCTTGGATTTAACTCAAAAACTGCAAGAAAATTGTTTATATTGATGGTCATGAAAGATCTGATGTAATTGAATATAGGTTAAAGTTTTTGGAACAAATGGAAAGGTAAAATTTTATTTTAATGTTTTTAAAATAAAAAATTTATTTTTAATCTAACTAATTTTATTAAATTAAAAGTTATGAAAAATTAATGCCAAAATTTAAGGATAATAATCTGGAGATTCAAATCAATTCTGATTTGCAAGAAAATGAATATTTACATATTCCGGTAATTCATGATGAAACTACTTTTCATTCTAATGATGGAAGACGATCTAGATAGGCTTTATATGAAGAATAATCTCTTCGTAAAAAGGAAGAGGAAGAGCCATTCATGTTAGTGATTTTTTATGTGAAACAATTGAAAGATTGCAATTAAATGAAGGATAAAAACTTTTGGAAAATATAAATATTATTCCACATGAAGCTAGAGTAATGATGAACCCAGGAAAAAATAATAATAGTTGGTGGAATATTGAATTATTATTTCAACAGGTATTTAATTAATTTTATATTATATTAATTAACTTTTTTTATTAATTATATAAATTTACTTACTTTATAGATTATTAATCATGCAATTCCAATATTTGAAGCAACTCATCCTGAAGCTATTGCAATTTTTGCATTTGATAATTCCACTTTTCATGATGCATTTAATTCTGATGCTCTTATTATAAATCGCATGAATGTAGAACCAGATGACAAACAACCAAAAATGAGAAATACTATTTTTAATGGTCAAGTTCAATTTATGAATTTTCCTGATGATTTTCCTGATAAATCTCTTTGTGAAAAACCAAAGGGAATGAAACAAATTTTACATGAATGCCAATTATTAAAGTTAGGTTTAAAAGGTTTTTGTAAAAATAAAAATTTAACAGATAATCAATGTTGAATGCAGTATATATTAGAAAATCAGCCTAATTTTCTTGCTCAAAAATGTATGATTCAAGAAATTATTGAAAGTAAAGGTCATAAGATAATTTTTTATCTGAAAATTCACTATGAACTTAATTATATTGAAATGTATTGGAAAGCTGCAAAACGTTATTCAAGAGATAATTGTAATTATACATGGAACGGATTGCAACAAGTTATTCCTATTGCATTAAATCATATTTCTTTATTAGAAATAAGAGCATTTGCTAGAAAATCATATAGATATATGGATGCATATAGGAAGGAATTAAATGTAAAGCAAGCGGAATATGCTGTTAAAAAGTATAAAAAGCATCGTATAATTTCTAATAATATACTTCAAGATATTTTAATAAAGGTTTAATTTTTGAATTTGGTTAAAATTATAATAATATTTTTTAATGCTGTTTGGGATCACATGATTATTTAAAATGTAAATTTGGCACTTAATATTGAAAGTTGTTATGACTAAGGGTTTTGAGCTGTATGAATTATATAGCCAACTTTTACAAAACAAAAAATAATATGAATTTATTAATCAATTGATCTTTATTATTAATTTATAATGAAAATTTGGATAATTTTATTGGTTTTTTTTAAAAAAATAATAAAAGACGAAATATTTGAATTTAATTTATCGTTATTTCTTTTCTTATTTTATTTTATTTTCTAATTATTATAAAAGATGATAATGACACCACCACCACCAATGTTACTGCTGCTCCCAAAGTTGTCATTAATATAGTTGCTATTACCTCCTAAGTTGTTGCAAATAGAATTGCTGCTGCCTCTAAAGTTATCACAAAATATTAAAATTAGTTAAACTATTTTAAGAGACTAGCAATATAATAACAATGAATTTTTCTTGGATATATCAAGTTCTGAATGAAAATTGGTAGGCTTCTCAAATTGCAAGTGATTATATATGAGACAATTAACATAAATTTTTGTATAGTCTGGATTGCAAATTGCATTTTGTATGGTTATATTTGAAATTGCTATTTGATAAATAATGAATGGTTTTGTAAAAGATCAGTTGTCATATTGATATTATTTGGTGAAGAAAAGTTTTTAGAATAATTAACCTAATTCCAGTATTAACAGTGACAAATTTAATCAGAGTATTCTCAACTTGTAATGATTGAGATGTGATTCGATTTCATTATCCATTTCAATTTCATTTAGACAATTTTATTTTTTATATATTTATTTTAAGAATGTAAATAATTAAAATATACATATTCAAGTAAAATATATTTTATTTATAAAAAAATTTAATACAATAGGTAGGGTTGGTAAAAGTTCTAATTGGTCCTAATTGGTCCTAATTAATTTTAAAAAAATTATTAGTTTTAAAGATTAAATTTTTTTAAATATTATT